AGCTGGTATGAGTGTCTGTGTATATGTGTTATACTTCCAGGTGAAGGCAATCTCACTTCAGAAGCATTGAAGAAGCACAATGCATTCTTAGGTGCAGGCAGAAGTAGCTCAGAGGAATTGCAAGATGATGACGGAGATGTAACTTTTGGAGGGACTTTCAAAACATTTCAGACATTTGCTAGTGATTGGAGTCAGTGTTCAAATGTGTCATTCAACAAGTAAGTAAAGGCCATTGTTACTGTGAATGAGCTTCCATGCACAATGTTGTAATGGATGTCATATTCAGGGGGCCATGCCTGGCCATCTGAAATAATCAGACCAATATCAAGGCCTTTTGATTTTGAAATGTCACTTTTTGTGATAAAGCTTCTTAACTTCCAGCCTGTTGGAGACTGCTTGTTTAATTTATATTCATTGCTGCGTCTGTAACCTTGAGCACACATTCAGTGATTCCTTAAACTCTTAATTGATTAAATATAAAATTTGATCACATAAAGTGTTAAACAATTGCTTCTGGTGAATGTGTTTTTTGAGCAGATGAATAATTATTGGTTTCATGTGGAAGATCGTGAATCAGTCTGTGAATGAGGATGTGTTTTTCAAGAAGCAGTTTCACTTTTGTGTTGACTGACATGATGTAGATTAAGAGAATACCTTTATAGTGCATTAAGATTTGTGGCATGAAAGTAAGAGCATTAAAAGGCAAATTGTAATGAGCAGGTTACTGAAGGGATTCTGCTCAAATTCGGCACTTCACAAAGAAATGTTGGCTGTTCTGGCTGCTGTTACTGAGGTCATCAGAACTGGTGGAGGTAAAGAGACAACGGTTGAATACCTGGGTGCACTGGTGAGTTTGTAGTTCATCAATAATGCCCATATTATATTCATTGTTCAAGAAACATGAGTGGTGAAAAGGTTTGCTTATCTGCCACCTGTAGATCATTTTGTTAAAGTGACCCTTTTTATCTGCCTGACCCACTGTGTACTGCTTTACCCTATGTAAAAATTTGCTTTAGTGTGGCATCATCATTTTATCTTAATGCCTGTTGCGAAGTTGGCATCGTAATTTGTACGGGTTGTAATGTATTGAATCACGTATCTCTTGCATGCATGAAATATACATACCCCAAGTTTGGCTTAGGAAATTGCATCTGTCCAAATCCTTACCATTTTGCCATCATGATGATCATCTTATATTCTTATCATATGATGCTTTATAACATTGCAAGCATTGACATGGGAAGAACTTACAAGCCTATGTTCATTTAAATAGTTTCATCTGTTATCTGCTATATATAACAGTGATATATTTCTATGTTTAATTTCTACTAGAATTGGTTTCCATGATATAATTTTTACACATAATCTCAGAGTTTCAAATTCAAGGTGATAAGCCAAAACTGCTGGTTCCCTGTTTTAATAACACTTATAATATTTTAATCTGCTTTTAAATCAGATTCAATTTCTGCAAGACTAATTGTTGTACCACAATTGTTGTACCAGAGATTTTGAAGATACTGGTTTGGCAGTCCATTCAGTTGTTAAGAATGGCAAGTTAATTATCCACGAAGTCTCATTTTTATTAAAAGTTTGTTATGATGATTTATTCGTAGATGACAACTCTTGACGTTTGTGAATCAGAAGAATCAGTGACAGCAGTTGTCATGTTACTTGGGATGGGTATTAAGAAGGTTCCACATGAAGTACTGAAACTTAAATACTCAGAAATGGCAAAGACATTTGTGAACTTTCTTGGCAAGTTTGCTGAGTCTGACAACTCTGCTCTGCTGAGATCGGTAAGTGACTCTGGCGAAACAGTAGTGGAATGTAGCAATGAATTGTAGACCTCAGAATTTAATTTAAAAATGAAGTGCCAGTACGACAAAAATTTATGAAAGTGTTGATACTGTTCTTGCAGCTTACTTTAGACTATTTGCCCAAATCTTATATTCTCTTATATTGATCTTTGCAAGAATACATCCTTCTCTTACATTCAAAACCGAACTTGCATCGACTATGGAACTTTATGCCCAATACATTATTTGTTATAAGTAGCTCAGATTGCCTAGCATTGAATAGTATGAGTAGTGAATAATGAATTGGAGAGGATTTGGAAGGAAGCAGTTATGGTCTAATTCAAGGTAAGATATCACAGTTTGTCTGGAAGCAGTGCAGAGAATTGCAAAACACCTCAGCTAGTGTTGTCAGTCTCTGGACTGAGATTTAAAACCAGGACCCTCCAAATATGAAGAATGAGTGCTAAGTTTTCAACTGTATAGTTTGGTTCCATAGTGAAAAATGTGTGTGTTTCCACACTAGTATAAATGGTCATTGACCTTCCAATGGAAAATTGTTGGATTCTAAGTGAATGAGACATGTCAGGAGATAACATGGTAGACACATTTCATGTTATCCAACATAGATACAGGGCAGGATAATTCTTCAGTCTATATCCAGTCTTTAAGAAGAAGAAGAGGAGAATAAATTATTTATTTTGACGTGAATACGTCTATACGGAAGGGTCATTCGGCGAAAACAGCGTTAGTTACGAAGATGTGTAAGCTCCAGCGCCGAGTCACCTTTAAATGTTCATTCCTCAGGAATGGTAAGAGTAAGGGTAATGTAACCTATATGTAAAATGATCAGTAAATAAGGACCTTTAAGAATCTGTAATGTATTTTATTGTAATTATAATAAATATATAAACAATTATTGTTTATACATTTATTGTAATTTTAATGAACCAATGTGTACAATTTTCAGTGCATCTGGCGCATTAAGCGCCCACCTCTCGAAAACTGTAAGAGATGGATCGGACATATTGCATACGAAATACGTATTACTTCTTGAGCTTTCCAAATCTGTTTTCAGATTTTACATATCACAAATGGTTTAGGTTCTACAAACATTTATTTACACAAATACGTCAGATTCTCCGGAACCGTGGTTCCACTGTCAATTTTTTGTTTGAGTATGATGTTTGTGTAAGCAGTCTTGTGTCCTGTAGTAATATTGTTACTTGTATTGAGAAAGTTCTTTCCTTACAGCTGATTGGTTGTCTGTCTGTGTTGCTACAAGCACAGGAGTTGGCAGTGTGGTCCAGTTCTTCCACATTGCAAGTGTTTGACTCAGTTTTAACCTTCATAACACACTCCAAACCAAAGGTAACATTGCAGAGAGAGAGTTTACTAACATCTGTATTGGTTGAATGTTATACTTTTGTATTTAACACAAATTTACAGATTATGTGTACAAATTTGACTGTGCAATTTATGTTTCATAACATATATTGAAAGGCCTGGCTAATAAAATGAAAAGTAACGTGCAAGAAAAACTAAGAGCCTGATTAATAAACTATTTGATATATAATAAGCAAAAAGTGAGATATAAGCATGTGAATATAATTGTGCAGACAATATAGACAGGAAATATGGTTAGGAAGGAAAGTTGAAAGTCCATTCTACTTTGTTATTTGATCCTCTGATATGGCAGTTTTTCTCATAAATGTTACAATGAACTTTAAAGTTTGGTTCATCAGACTAAGGAAGTTCATGTTGGCGGATTTGTAACAGACATGCATGCTATGAAAGATAAAGCCATGCACATTTTGGTTGGAAACCTTGTTACGTATGTGATGAGAACATGAGGAAGTATATATATATATAGTGAAGATTTTGTTTTGTATTTTGTAGAACTGATGTGATTATGGTATTATGAGTCTTCTGTTTGGCTGCTTTCCTTTTCTTCATCTCAAGTTATGGTTTATGTTGTTAGGTACGCAAAGCAGCACAGCATGCCATATGTGCAGTTCTGAAGGGCAGCAGTCTAATGTTGAGTAAAGATGCTCCAGAACATCATCCGGCTGCTTCGCATGTAGCTAAGTATTTGATCAAGCAAATTGAGAGTGGGGCGTCTACAACCACATTACATACTCTTGGCTTGCTGAAGGAGGTATTTGCTACATTTCCCAAACCACAACTAAAGGTATACCTACGTCTGTAGTATATATATCATTAAGAATAGACTATAATACTATGGGCCATTCCATTGACACATACTCTTTGAAGTCAAATTTTCTGATCAGATGGCTCCTAGTTTGACGGTAGCTTTACAGCCACCTACGTAGGACATATAATTTTGTATTACAAATGTTTGTTCGGATAAATATTAATAGAATGATCAAATTAATTTTGATGAGGTGGACGGGTTATCTAGCACACGTGGGAGGGATGAGAAACAGAAAACGTTTTGATCAGGTAGCCTGAAGGGAAGAGTCAGTTGGAAGACCACGGTAAAGATGGGAGGATAATATTAATATGGATCTTAGAAAAATAGGCTATGATGGTGTCGACTGGATTAATTTGGCTCAGTATAATGACCTTTGGTCAGCAGTTATGAATACAGTAATGAACCTTCAGTTTTCATGAAAAGCAAGGAATTGCTTGATTGAATAGCTGTTAGTTTTTCAAGCTAAGAATCAGATTTTTTAGAAATAAAAAATTAAATAGTTAAATTTATTGATATATAAAATAGCATATTGATTAACTTATTTACTCGTGTGTAACGCGTGTTTGTATGTTTTGTGTATTACACACCCTAATTTTAAGAATGAATAATTTTGAAAACTGTTCTGAAATATGGTATAGGGGTACATAATACATTGTGTTTTGGAGTTCTGAACAAGATGTTCCTATTTTGTTATGGCCTTGTGTTTTCCAAGATTTGGCAGCTTTCTTCATCTAGTATTGTTTAAGTTTTATACAGACATCCTGCAACACAAAATTGGTACATGGGAAAATCTTAACTATATCTTTGTCTTACCATTCTAATACTGCTTCCTCAGATCAAACATAAAATTATGCGAGATCAAGTTAAAAGTGTCCTTGTGATTACTTTGTCATCCACTTCTGTTGTCATTGTCATCTGCGCTCATGTGGTCAGGACCAGTTGTCCTTCCTAGCAATGAAAATCTTTGTGATTTGCATTGGTTTCCAGTCACTTATAAAACTTCAATAACATTATATTTTCTGTTACTCGTGCAATTTTTGATTTTCTCTGTCACTTTAATTATTTTCTGCCTTTCTTTAACCTTAAACCATTGTAAGTATGTGCCTTCGATACTCATGTTTAACAGAACTTTATCAGCACTGTACACTGTACTGTGACTAAGGTTCATGCGCACAAAAAAAGAAGTTGTGAACATTAAGATGGCACTTGGAATGGGTAGTGTTGCCACACACTAGAAAGTGCGGTAATGTTGGTTTAGGAAATGTTTCATCAGTTTCTTCTAACAATGTGTAACCTGAAAAGCATTTGGTGCAGTGGTCTCTGATCAACAGAGACCACAAACCATACTGTGATTGTTCCTATTCGTAACAAAGATTGGTATAAAGTGTACATTTTAATACTTGATTTCTTTCTGACACATTGGTTATTGACTGTTGTGATGGTGTCTATATTAGAATTTAAGTAGCGAAGTGAATTAACAGTTGATTGAAGTTGTTGTGTTTCTTATAGGCTTTGTGTGAGAGTGTCCTTAAGGTAATGACCCTTGGTAACATTCTGGTTACATCATGCTGCATGCAGAGCCTACACAGTCTGTTTGTGTCACGGCCTCCTTCCTCATCTTTACCACCACAGCGTAATGCTCAGTTGATAGTAGCATTGTTTGACTATCAACCAGCTTCTAGTGACACCCAGGCAACTCTGGCATGGCTTGCTGTCTTACAAGAGGGTTACATTAATCTAGCAAGGTAACTTACAATCTCACTCTAGATTCTTCTAATTTTAGTAATAATTAACACAGTGTTTGGTAAAAAAAACTCAAGGTTTTGATAACTAGTGTAGCAGAAGACTATATTATATTTCAGTTAACACATTAAAAATATTCCTTCTACTGGTCAAATAACAGAAGGAAATCTCCTGAAGCATAATGAATCTTCAGTAACTTTTATTTTGTCTTTCCTGCCCTGTGACAAGCCATTGTATATTAGTACCGGTAATCATTAATCTGTTAACATTTATCATCACAGTTTTAATCTTGATGGAATTAATTTACATTAATATCACATTATCTTATTTTTTCTTCAAAGAACAAATATTTGAATAGCTACATAATGAGCTTCTATCCTAAAAGGGTGTTTTTATGCTCAGATTTTATTGATAAGTTGCAGTATTCAGGAACATTAAAATTTGTCAGTACTACATAAACATTTTTCACATTCAAAATGTCATAGAAGTTGGTGGGAGTTGGGTTTCAGCTGTCTGAAGACATAATCATATTTCACAAATTATGAAAGGTGAAATAATAATTGACATTACGAACAGTAATTTATGTAGCAGCCTTCAGGATGCAGATGAACTCCACACAAAGCACAGAGAAACTTTGTAGGAAGATGGCTATCTTCTGGGTTGTTGCGCAACAACCCAGAAGACAGCCATCCACAGAAAAACTTTGTTTCCCTGTTGATATCCTTTTTAGACACATTTTGCAATTTTTTGTTGGGTATTTATAATTATATGTTTATTTAGTGTATCATATACAGATGTGCCTGCCATTCTGTTCACTGTCTTACTCTGGAAGAAAACACTTTTTTAAACTGCGGAACATGATTTTGCTGGATTGGAATCATCTGTATTTGTTTTTCCTTCCTGCCATTATATTAATTAAGCTCTTGTTTATGGCACAGGCTGGACCTCTCTCTGTGTTTGGCACATTTACCACGTATCTTCTCTACCAGCACTCGCTTGTGGCTTTCTGACAAGGCAGAGGTTATGAGTGCTGCCACCTTAACTTTGAAGGCTGTGACAGAGGATTGTGTTGCAACAGCATGTTCTGCTGAACTAGTCAAGACTTATTATCAGACACTTGGAAGGTTATTTGGTGTTATTGAAAATTGCCTCACCTATCAGTACCACTCATCATGGCGTCATGTGTTGCATCTTCTGGCTGTGTGGTTCGAGGTAAAGTATCTCCATATCACGTAATTTTGAGCTGTTTTGTGATATAGACACACCAAGGAATTTTGTTCATAATGTTACATGGGTCTATTTTAATGCTGAATGTTAACCAAAGGTATGCCAAAACTTGGCTCCATGCTGAATGGAATACTGGGATCAAATTTCCCATTAAGTTTTTGTTGTTTTCCATACTTCTTCATTTGATCTTCTAGCATAATTCACTGTCTTTATTTTTGCTCTTTTCAGATTTTACTTTTTTTTAAGTCGGGGTTTTTGTAAATTGTGATCATTTTCTCTGATCCAGTATTGAATAACCAGCCACTGTTACAGA